GCTGTGTGGGAGTCCAACCCCCTGTCAGCCCCCCACTCCTTTTTTTAAGTTTTTTTTTTTTTTTTTATCATAGGACACTTGTGCTCCCCAGACAGAGACAGAGAGAGAAGGTGAGAGATCACCCTTCCCCAGGGGGGATGGCCACATCATAATCCCTTCTCCTCCATCCTCCTCTCAGGATTTTGGGCATGCACACACATGTACCCAGGCATGATTTGTTAAGCCTCCGGGTTTGGGACTCCCAACTGTGGCGTCAGCCATGTGGAATCCAATGCCTTAACCACTGTACCACTTGCTGGGCCAGAAGACATATTCTTTATACCCCAAGAATAGAGGGACAGAGCTAACTTCCTATTTTGACACCTTTTTAATTTTTTAAGAGAATGATTCTTGGTATAGGGCATGTGTGCTTGCCAGAGAGGGACAGAGAGACAGAAAGCAAGAAATCAGCCCCCACGAGGAATGGCCACACTGCAGTCCCTTCTCCTGCATTCTCCTCTCCGGATTTTGGGCACGCACGCACACGCGCCCGGCGTGAGTTAAGCTACGGGGTCTGGGACTCGAACTGTGATCAATTAAGTGGGAGTCCAGTGATGTAACCATTACGCCATCTGCTGGTTCCTCCATTTGTTCTTTATAATTCTCTCTCTTTTCTTTCTTTTTTTTTTTTTTTTAAGTATTTTCTAAGAATTATTCAGTTAATTTTTATCTATTATTACTATTCAATTTGACCAGAGAGAGACAAGAAGCCACCAGGTCTAGAACTCCAACCGCAGTCGACCATGTAGAAATCCAACTTCTTAACTACCCTGCCCTGCCAGTCTCTATGATTGTTTTTATTTTTTTAAAGAAGTTTTTTTTTATTTAACGGTATTTATTTTATTTATTTTTCTTCATTTATTTTCATTTGATCAGAGAAGTACAGAGTGAGAGAGAGAGAGGGAAAGTAAGAAAGCAAGCCTCCAGGTCCGGGACTCAAACCACAGTCAGCCATGTGGGTGTCTAGTGCCCTTAACCACCATGCCACCTGCCGGCCCCGGCCCCTGTAATTCTTTATAATGTATGTCCTGTCCGATTGTGGCGAGATTACCAAACTGTTCAATCCCACCTCGTTCTGTTTGTCTTATTTCTAGAAAGACCAATTGGGGGAAATATATCTTGAATCCTCAGTATAAAATGGCTCTTTGGGTGTCAATTGTCATGCCAGCGTGTCGTGGTGCCCGGATGCGTGTCCCTGCAGCACTGCCACTGTGTGGAGACCCCGTTGAATCCCACAGAGATGAAGGGGACACTGAGACCTCTTTTCCTTTGCCTTAGGGCTGTCTCTGCAAGCAAAGCAGCACGCAGAGAAGGCCAGAGACATCCTCGTCCACGCCATTGTGCCTCCCTACAATGACGACACGGACGTTTTCAGGTGTTCTGTGGAGCTTTTCCATACCCTGGGGAGAGCCTCTCTCTCCCTTCAGCAGTATCCTTTTACCGCTGTTCATTTTATTCTTTTATCTTATTTCAGTTTTTGCCATAGAGTGCACATACTTGCAGGAGAGAGAGAGACAGAGAGACAGAGAGCAAGGGAAAGTGAGAAATCACCTCCTTAAGGGGATGGCTACTTCTCAGTCCCTTCTCCTGCATTCTCCCTTTAGGACTCTGGGCACACATGCCCACGCCTGGTGTCATTTTCCTTCCTTTTTTCTTTTTTAAGAATTATTTTATTTTAGCTTTATTCATTATTCTTACTAGTTTCCAATTTGATCAGAAAGAGCAAGAGAGACAGAAGGAAAGTGAGAAAGGAAGCCACCAGGCCTGAGACTTGAACCATGGTTGGCCACGTGGGAGTCCAGCGCCACCTACTGGCCCCTCCCGGTGTAATTTTCAAGTCACCCTCGGTCTGGGATTTGAGCTGCTGTCGGCCATGTGAGAGTCCAGTGCCTTAGCCACCATGCCACCTGCTAGCCCTTTGCCTCTGTTCTTTACAAATAGAAATATAAGGGGACAGGCCAGACAGTGGCACAAAGGTGGCACCGCTGGACCCACATGGGGAAGGTTCTAAGTTCTCGTCCCAGCACCTCCCTATGGTCCAGGCCAACTGGACCTGCAGGTGGATTGTGGCGAGGGGACCCTAAGGAGGGTACTTCCACCCCCTTCCCCTGTCTCTCTCTCTGCCTCATGGAAGAAAAACAAAAGGAGGGACCACCAGGTGGAGTGGTGGTTAAGGTGCTGGACTCCCACATGGTGGACCACGGTTTGAGTCCTAGACCCAGTGGCTTGAATCTTGAGCCAGGCACATGTGTGTGCGTGCCCAAAATCCTAAGAGGGGAATGGAGGAGAAGGGATTGTGGGGTGGTCATCTACCCCGGAGGGTGATTTCTCACTTTCTCTGTCTCTCCAGTGAGCGCGTGCACCCTATAGCAGAAAGACGGAAGGAAGACAAGGGGACTTCAGAACGTTGGTGGAAAAAGAGAATTACAGTATGGGTTTACTTTGATGCAAAACAGGCTTTCAAATCCATTTTCCAGAACATGCATTTCCCATGAACTCTCTTAAAACCCTTCATACGGACAGCATAATGCGTACAGTTAATTCTCAAAGCCAAATACAAAGCAGATGAATCAGGGCCAAGAGGTGGCATAGCGCTTGAGGGACTGGACTCCCATATAGACGACCATGGTTCAAGTCCTGGGTCCGGCAGCTTGAAAATCACCCGGGGCGCGTGTGCGTGCGTGCCCAAAGTCCCAGGAGGAGAATGGAGGAGAAGGGATTGCGGCATGGCCATCCCCGCTGGGGGTGATTTCTTACTTTCCCTCTCTCTGCCTCTCTCCAGTGAGCGCATGCACCCCCATGGCCAAAACCTTTAAAAAAAAAAAAAGACAGATGACAAAGCAAGGGTGACAAGAAGGGGACGGGGGGCAAGAAGGTCCATGACTTGGGGTCCCAGAATCTACAGCCAAGGGGAACGTTTCCTGAACACAGTTCAGATTTAAGGAAGCGGCCGAGAACTTGGCAAAAGCGGAGAGACTTTCCAAGGAGCTGCTCCAGTGTGGGAGGATCATCCGGGAAGAATGGTTGGAAGTCCAGGCGCGGACCCAGCTGTCGTTCGGACAGTAAGTTCTCAGTTCGGGACCCTCCACCATGATGCTTTGCTGTAGGCTGTCTTCAGGCAGGAGGCGCTTCTCCGTGGCGCTGCGTTCCTGGCTTCTCCAGAGGCCCTTGTCCGGAAGTAAAATAGAAACACGGGCACGTCAGAACAGTCCCAGTCAAGATGCACACCGGTGACTCTTCATTCCACGTGGAATGCCCTGGTGTCCTCCTGGGGCCTTGAATTCTCTCTTTTTTTTTTAAAGAATTATTTAATTTTATTTTATTTATCTATTCATTTCTTTTTAAAATTTGACCAGAGATAGACACAGAGACAGAGAGAGAGAAGGAAAGTGAGAAAGCAAGCACCAGGTCCAAGACTCGAACTGTAGTGGGAGTGTCCAGGACCTTAACCACCGCGCCACCAGGGACCTTGAATTCTTTTTGTTTGTTTTTTAGAGAGGCTTTTGCTATAGGGCATGTGCACTCACCAGAAATACAGAGAGAGACAGAAAGTGAGAAATCACCCACCCCAGGGGGATGGCCATGCCACAATCCCTTCTCCTCCATTCTCCTCTCTAGATCTTGGGCACACACGCACATGCGTCTGGCGTGAGTTTAAGCCACTGGGTCCAGGACTCGAACTGTGGCCAGCTACTTTGGAGTCCAGCAACGTAGCCATTATGCCAACCGCCAGTCCCTGTTATTATTATTTTTAAATTCAACCAGAAAGAGACAGAGAGAGAGGGAAAGTGAGAAAACAAGCTGCCTGTTCCGGGACTCAAACCATGGTCGGCCATGTGGAAATCCAGTGCCTTTAACCCACCACGCCACCTGCCAGCCCCACCTTCCTTCTTTTCCCCCTGACAGCTCTGGTCTAAAATGCTTCCATTGATTAATTTAATGGTGAAGACCTCAAAACAAAGGGAAGCTCTTAAACGTATCTGCATCCCTGATCATGAGAGGACTGTTCTCCTAGCACCAAAGAAACCCAGCTGCCAGGATGTTAAGAGAAGGCTGTGGGTGGGCCAGCAGGTGGCTTAGTGCTTAAGGTGCTGGACTTCTGTATGGTCGACCACGGTTCAAGTCCCAGACCCGGCAGCTTGGAACTCATTGCGAGCGTGTGTGCGTGCGTGCCCAAAATCCTGAGGGGAGAAGGAAGGAAAAGGGATAGTGGCATGGCCATTCCCCCGAGGGGGTTGATTTCTCGCGTTCTGTCTCTTTGTCTCTCTGGCAAGAGCACACGTCCCCTAGTAAAAATCTCTCTTAAAAAGAGAGAGAGAGAGAAGACAGTGGAGGAGGTGGTGGGTCTTAGGTAGTATCTTTTCTTTTTAATAATTATTTTATTTATTTTATTTTATTTTTTTCACATGAGTTTTGCCACAGAAAGACAGAGAGATAGAGGGAGAGTGAGAAAGTAAGCCACCAGGTCCGGGACTCAAACTGGGGTTGGCCATGTGGGAATTCCAGCGCCTCAACCACCACGCCACCTGCTGGCCCCTTTAGGTAGTGTCTTGATCCCTTCCCGAGGACTAAGCCCACACCTGTTCCCCAGACTATCAAGGTAACAGAGTATGCCCTTCTTTGGAAGGATGGGTGGGGGGAGGCGAGGGGGAGAGGGTGGAGATAGGTCTGTTCTAGAAGAGGCACACACACACGCACACATACACATCTGGCACGTTTACCAAGCCACTGGGTGGAGGACTTGAACTATGAAGGTGGCCACATGGGATCCAGCTGCCCTAACCACCACGCCACTGGCTAGCTCAAGAATGGCTCAAGATATTTAAAGACTGGGGCCAGCATTTAGTATGATGGTTAAGGTGCTGGACTCCCACATGGCGGTTCGAGTTCTGGACCTGGTGGCTTGACAGTCACTCTGGGTGCGTGTGCGTGTGAGCTCAAAATCCCGAGAGGAGAATGGAGGAGAAGGGATTGCAGCATGGCCATCCTCTGGGGAGGTGGGGATTTCTCACTTTCCCTCTCTTTGTCTCTGTTTCTCAACAGTGAGTACATGCACCTTATGGCAAAAACGTCTTCTTAAAAAATGGTTTTAAAAAGACCAATAAGGGGACCGGCGTGTGGTGTGGTGGTTAAGGTGTTGGACTCTCCCACATGACTGACCACGATTGGAGCCCTTGACCTGGTGGCTTACTTTTACACGTTCTCTCTCTCTCTCTCTCTCTCTCTGTCTGGTCAAATTAAGAATTAAACGCATTGGGACCAGCAGGTGGTGTGGTGGGTGGTGAAGGCGCTGGACACTCGCACTTGGCCAGCCGCGGTTCGAGTCCCAGACCTGGTGGCTTGTTTTTTCACTTTCCTTCTCTCTGTGTGTCTTTCTCCAGTCAAATGAAAAGAGATGAATGAATATATACAATTAAATAATTTTAAATAAAACAATTTTTACAAAAAAGAATTAATCAATGGATAAAGTTAGATAAATAATTCCAAAAAAAGAAAGACCAATAATGTCAAGTGTGGGGAAGGACAGGTCTCTCTCCAATGCTGCTGTGTATAATTGATGTGCTACAGCTAAGAAAACTCTTTGGCATTCTCTATCAAAATTCACCATCTTCGGGACCAGCAGTTAGCGTAATGGCTATGTCACTGGACTCCCATGTAGTCAACTGTGGTTCGAGTACCGGACCCAGTGGCTTAAACTCACACCGGGCGCGTGTGCATGCGTGCCCAAGATCCCGAGAGGAGAATGGAGGAGAAGGGTTTGTGGCGTGGCCATCCCGCCCCTGGGGGGTGGTTTCTCGCTTTCTGTCTCTGTCTGGCTAGCGCAGATGCCTACAGCAAAAACCTCTCCAAAAAAAAAAAAAAAAGGGTTATAAAGTGATCTGGAAGTCTTCCCAGTCCAGAATCTCTTCCTGCCCAGAATTAGATCTCCTACCTTGTAAAACAGGAAATGAACAAGTCAGAGGTCCAAGATAGGACATTTGTTGAATCTGTCGGGACTTGACTAATGGATTAGAACTAATGGATTAGAACTAATGGATTAGCGCTTTTAAGAGCGCTTTCCAAACGCGCAGTACCAAGTCCTGCCAGCAGGTGGCGGGCGCGGCACGTGTCTACGCTGAACACCCACCAGGACCAAGCCAGGGTTCCAGGCAGTCCTGCAAAGGCCCCTGAGGGTTGAGCGGGGTGGTTTCCAACTTGGCCTCTTCCTTTCCTCCCGCTGAGGTCCTCGCTGGAACGTGCCTTGTGTACACTGCACGAGTTTCCTTCCATGGCTTTGAGTTAACTGCGCCCAAACGGATCCGCTTTAGAAAGTAACAAGCTTTCGGTTCTGGTCTGTGGTTCCCTCCCGTTGGCTTGTTTTATTTTTAGTTTCTGGCTTCATCTTGGAGGTGAAGGTGGGATCGTTTCTCAGGCAGCTTGGTTGGATTTATGTCCATCTTGAAAGGCCCTCGTTTAGGTCTCTCTTCCTCCGCCCGCCTCTCCTTTTTTGGTGCCTCTGGGGCCAGGCTGCAGCCGTCCTCCTGGGGCTGACGGAGCCACCAGCCGGTGACGCACCGGAGCCGGGGTGCTTCACGCCGTCATAAGTTACTATCTTTGGAAAGTGAATCCAAATCCTATGTTCCTGTGTGCACAGTTACAGTAGGGGTCCTCAAAAATTCATGGGAGGAGGCTGGCAGGTGGCGGGAGAGTTAAGGCCCTGGACTCCCAGTGGCGACTCTGGTTCGAGTCCTGGACCTGGCAGTTTGCTTTCTTACTTTCTCTCTCCTTCTCTCATTTACTCGCTGTTGGGGCACATGCCCTATAGCAAATTAAATAATAATAACAATAATAACAAAATTGGGGCTGGCAGGGGGCATGGTGGTTAAGGATGCTGGACTCCCACATGGCCAACTGTGGTTCAAGTCCCAGACCTGAAGGCTTGCTTTCTCACTTTCTCTCTCTCTTTGTTCCTCTCTGGTCAAATTTAAATAAATACATAAAGTTACAAAACACGGTAAATAAAATAATAAATAACTAAATATAAAAGAAAGCAAAATAATAATACTAATAAATTAAATTAAATCATTGTTTTATTTTTGGAGAGGTTTTTGCTATAGGGCATGTACACTCGCCAGAAAGACAGAGAGAGACAGAGAGACAGAGAGTGAGAAATCACCCCCTGGGGTGATGGCCACGCCGCAATCCCTTCTCCTCCATTCCCCTCTCAGGATCTTGGGCATGCACGCACACGCACCCAGCGTGAGTTTAAGCCACCGGGTCCGGGACTCAAACCACAGTCGACTACATGGGAGTCCAGCGACATAGCCGTTATGCCAACTGCTGGTCCCAAAACACGAATAATTTTATTTGATCTTGCCTTTTATGTGAATAGGGTGTTCTCAGTGAGTTTCAGAAGGTCCACTGTGGGTTGGCTTCACAGCTTCCATTTCCCACTGTCATGTTAGCACCAGGACCCTGTGTTCGTAAGGAATGGCAAGTTAGAGGGATGAGGGGTAGAATTTGCTTCATTCTTCTTTTTTTTTTTTTAACTTTATTTATTCATTTACTTACTTACTTACTTATTCATTAAAATTTATTCATTCATTTATTTTTATTGTTGTTGTTATTTTTTAATTTGACCACAGAGAGACAGAGAAAGTGAGAAAGCAAGCCACCAGGTCCAGGACTCGAACCATAGATCGCCATGTGGGAGTGTCCAGTGCCTTAACCACCATGCAAATTATGCCAACATAGCTCTGTGTCAGCCTGGTCAGGTGTTTTATGAATGGTAGTTCGTTTGGTCTTCGCAATCACCCGATGATATGAACACTGCCATTATCCGCGCTCTACAGAGGAGGGGACTGTTGAGCGATCTGAAGGCCGTCCGTCTGGTGAGTGTAGACCCAGGACTTACCCTCCCTGGTGACTCCAGGACCCAGCCTGTTGACCACTGCGCTGCTGCCACTTGGAGGAGAAGTTTAGCTGGCGAGAAAATGGATTTGGACCCCAAGAGTCAGAGGGTCAAACTTCAACTGCCAGACCCTCTATGTTTTTAGTATTTTCTATTTAGTTATTATTATTATTTTTTAAGATTTTTGCCATAGGGCACATGCGCTCACTAGAGAGAGAGAGAGAGAGATCATGAAAGGGAGGGACCAGCAGTTAGTGTAATGGCTATGCCAGTGGACTCTCATGTAGTTGACCGTGGTTCGCGTCGCGGACCCGGTGGCTTAAACTCACACTGGGCGCATGTGCGTGCATTCTCAAGATCCCAAGAGGAGAATGGAGGAGAAGGGATTGCGGCATGGCCATCGCCCCTGGGGGGTGATTTCTCGCTTTCTATCTCTCTGTCTCTCTCTGTCTGTCTGGCGAGCGCATGCACCCTATAGCAAAAACCTCTCCAAAAATAAAAAAATTAAAAAGATCATGAAAGAGAAAGTGAGAAATCACCCCCCTCCCAGGGGTTATGGCCATCCCTTCTCCTCTACTCTCCTACTGGGATGTTGGGCATGTGTACACACGTGCCCAGCTTGAGTTTCAAGCCACTGGATCTGGGACTTGAACCATGGTCAGCTGTGTGGGAGTCCAGCGCCTTCACCACTGGCCCCCTATTTAAATTTTTTTTTTCAAGAATTATTTTATTTAACTTTATTTATATATTTATTTTCATCTGACCACAGAGGGACAGACTAAGAAAGAGAGAGAGGAAAAGTGAGAAAGCAAGGTGCCAGTTCCAGGACTCGAACCATGGTCGGCCATGTGGGAGCCCAGCACCCGTCACCACCAAGCCCCCTGCCAGCCCCTATTGAATTATTCTGAAAATAATCCCTTTGGGTTTTTTTAGAGTGTGTCAAGGCCAGAAGAAATCAAAAGAAGCTTTGCCCCACTACCAAGAGGCTTTGGAATGTGTCCAGACCAGCAAAGGGGACAAGAGTCGGGAGTGCGTGCCGGTTTTGAGGGAACTAGCGGGTGCGGAGCAAGCCCTGGGGTCCCACGACACAGCCATCGACCATCTGTCACAGGTGAGCCACACCCTCTGGCCACTCACGCTGCCCTAGACCCGCGGCCTTCATGACACAGGTGGGGGGGCAGGTGTTCGGCCTGCTGCCGGTCAGTGTCAGCCACTTGGATTTATTGACCGCACTTACTAAGCCATCTAGTTAACACTCCCCTTTTCTTTAGAAGATTTACCTAGCCAGGGGACCAGCAGTTAGCGTAATGGCTATGTTGCTGGACTCCCACGGTGTTGACCGCGGTTCGTGTCCCGGACCTGGTGGCTTAAAACTCACGCCGGGCTCATCTGCGTGCATGCCCAAGATCCCGAGAGGAGGATGGAGGAGAAGGGATTGCGATGTGGCCATCCCCCCTGGGGGGTGATTTCTCGCTTTCTGTCTCTCTGTCTCTCTCTGTCTGGCAAGCACACACGCCCTATAGCAAAAACCTCTCCAAAAAAAAAAAAAGAAGATTCACTGAGCCAGCAGGTGGCATAGTGGTTAAGACGCTGGACTCCCACATGTGTGACTGCTGTTTGAGTACTGGACCCGGCGCGTGTACATGCGTGCCCAAAATCCCAGGAGGAGAATGGAGAAGGGACTGTGGCATGGCCACCCCCCCGGGGAGGGGGTGATTTCTCACTTTCTGTCTCTCTGTCTCTCTCTCTCTGTCTCTCCAGCAATCACCCATACCCTAGAGCAAAAATCTCTCTCTGGAAAAAAAAAAAAACTAAGATACTGGAAGGTGGGATCAGCAGTTAACATAATGACTATGTCACTGGACTCCCATGTAGTTGACCGTGGTTCGAGTCCTGGACCTGGTGACTTAAACTCACACCGGGCGTGTGTGTGTGCGTGCCCAAGATCCCAAGAGGAGAATGGAGGAGAAGGGATTGCAGCGTGACCATCCCCCCTGGAGGGTGATTTCTAACCTTCTGTCTCTCTGTTTCTCTCTGTCTTTCTGGCGAGCACATGCGCCCTATAGCAAAAACCTCTCAAAAAAAATTTAAAAAGATACTGGAAGGTACAGAGTGGCCACAGCTCAAGAGAACCCCTGCCTCAAAGCTATTTATTAAGTACACACAAAGAGGTTTTGTCATTTTTTTTTGTTCCCTGTTGATTATCACTCTTCATTCCTTTGGCGTGAGAGAAGCATCCATAGAGAAAAGACCTTTTATTTCCTGCCGAATGTAGGAAAGTTCCAGAGTATTTTAGGAACTAACCCATTAAAACAGAATCGCAGCCAAGCACCGGGAAGACGGCTGTCATCGGCCCCGTCCCTCCCTCTGCCACCGGGGTCTGTGAGAACACCATGCAAGTACGATGGCTTCTGAAGCTCCCCGTGACAGATCTGGCCATAGAATCCCACTTCCCTACCCAAAAGAAAAGCCACAGGATTTCATTTACGGGGGTGTATATGTTCACGGGCGTGTGTATTCAAGGGGGATAAATTAACATTCTCCTCGCTCGGGTTGCTTTTTCGCATCTCCGACAAACACTCGAATTGCATATCTCTATTAGTTTTCAGGCCAGTTTTCCCACACGGTAGTTTGCAAATTCAAGGCTTTTTTTTTAAAAAAGAATGATTTATTTAGGGGCCAGCAGGTGGCATAGTCGTAAAGGTGCATTCACTGGAGAGAGATACAGAGAGAAAGAGGGAAGTAAGAAGGCCTCCCCTTCTCCTCCTTCCTCCTGTTGGGGTTTTGGGCACGCACACGCACGTGCCCGGCATGACTTTTAAGATGCTGGGTCCAGGCCTAGAACCGTGTCCTCACCCATATGGGATCCAGTGCCTTAACCACCATGCCACCTGCTGGCTATGTCGCTGGACTCCCATGTAGTCGACCACAGTTCGAGTCTGGACCCAGTGGCTTAAACTCACACCGGGTGCGTGTGCGTGCGTGCCCAAGAACCCGAGAGGAGAATGGAGGAGAAGGGATTGTGGCATGGCCATCCCCCCTGGGGGGGTCATTTCTTGCTTTCTGTCTCTCTGTCTCTCTTTGTCTTTCTGGCAAACGCATGTGCCCTATAGCAAAAAATCTAGTTTGATTTTAAGACAACATACTTGCAACCAGGAGAAGAAAAACAAGCTCCTGACCCTCTACTTGGGTGCTGCTCCTTACAGGGAGTAGGGAGTTTTCTCCCAAACCTTCGCAGGAGCTAAAATTGACCACTGGAGAGCTGCCACTGAAGGATTTTCTCTATTAAAAGAAACTAGCTTAGTTCAGGGCTCGCAGAACTGAGTTTCCCAAAGCTCTCTGCCCCAGTGACTTCCCGTTCCCCCTAATCCCCCCTGGGATCCCCAGCTCCATCTATTTCTTCACCAAGGCTGCCCAGCTGCCCCGGGTCCCCTTGCTGTCCCCAGTGGGCAGAGAAGGGAGGGAAAGGGAGTGGGCATCTCAGCCACCCTGCCACGTGCCCCTGTTGCATAAGGGCGTCAGCTCAAAGCCAAGGACGGAGTGGCCGGCTTTGGCAGGGCTGAGAGGAAACGCTAGACAGCTTCGCAAGTGGTCAGTTATGAAAGAAACACGGCTAGGGGGAGCTCACAATTACACGTGGACATGAGCCTCTGTGGACCTAGGGCATGAACGCATGGAAGCAGAAATGCAGACCCTTGGTGGGAGACCTTCAATGCTGGCTTTATCCACCATCCAGTTTTTCTTGCCGCCCTGGAGTCCCTCAAAAAATGATTGAGTAGGGACCAGCAGTTAGCATAATGGCTATGTTGCTGAACTCCCACATAGTCAACCGCGGTTCAAGTCCCGGACCTGGTGGCTTAAACTCACACCGGGTGCATGTGTGTGCGTGCCCAAGATCCCAAGAGAAGAATGGAGGAGAAGGGATTGTGGCGTGACCATCTCCCCTGGGGGATGATTTCTCATGGGAGTCCAGCGACACAGTCATTATGCGCTAACTGCTGGTCTCTCTTGCCAGGGTTTTAAGTTGAGTGTTCATATGAAGGGATCTGCCTGCTCAAATAGGAGTACTCTCACCCAGGCCAGCCAGTGGTGTGGTGGTGAAGGCCACTGGATCGCACATGGCTGACTACACCATTCAAGTCCTGGACACGGTGACCTGAAAAATATACTAGGTACATGTGCGTGCGTGCCCAAGATCCCAAGAGGAGAATGGAGTAGAAGGGACTGCGGCATGGCCTTCCCCCGGAGGATTGATTTCTCTCTTTCCATCTCTGTCTCTCTCTGTCTGGCGAGCACACACGCCCTATAGCAAAAAGAAAAGAGGGATGGAGTAATGGTTACATTACTGGACTTCCAGTGACCACAGTTCAAGTCCTGGACCAGGCGACTTATAACTCACGCCAGGCGCGTGTGTGTGCATGCCCAGAATCTCAAGAGGATAATAGAGGAGAAAGGATTGCAGTGTGGCCATCCTCCCGGGAGTGATTTCTCACTTCCTGTTGCTGTCTGTCTCTCTGGAAAGTACGCACACCGTGTAGCAAACACTTCTCAAAAAAAAAAAGAAAAAGAAAAAAAAAAAAGAAATACTCTCATCTTTTTCACTAGTCATCAGGCTTGCTTTTCAAGAAATATTACACATTTCGCAACTCCAAGGGGACAGGCCCATTGAGATAAGAGTCAGCCAACTTCGGCTCTGGCTGCATCTGGGAACAGCTGGATCGGGGCTGAGCATTCAGCCGTGTCTCCTAGAAACACAGGGGGCGCCAGAGTGGAACAGCGGGTCCATTCCCCAGCCCAGGCTGAAGTGGTCGGTCTTGTGAATGCGTTTTTTCAATGAATGACCTTGTTCAATATGGGAGGTGAGTGTTCATGTGTTTTTAACCCAGTCCAACAAGCTGACAGGCCAGGAGATTCGGGGATATTCAACATTCCTCCTCAGTTTCAAGATGACAGTCAAGGGTGCCGGCGTGTGGTGGGGGGATCAGGGCATTGGACTCCCACGTGACTGACTGCAGTTCAAGTCCCGGACCTGACAGCTTGCTTTCTCACTGTCCCTCTGTCACTCTCTGGTTAAATTTTTTTCTTTTTAAGAATTATTTTATTTTGGGACCAGCAGTTAGCATAATGGCTATGTCGCTAGACTCCCACGTAGTCGACCACGCTTCGAGTCCCAGACCCGGTGGCTTAAACTCATGCCTGGCGCATGTGCGTGCGTGCCCAAGATCCTGAGAGGAGAAAGGAGGAGAAGGGATTGTGGCGTGGTCATCCCCCGTGGGGGGTGATTTCTCGCTTTCTGTCTCTCTCACTCTGTCTTTCTGGCGTGTGCGCCCTATAGCAAAAACCTCTCCAAAAAAAAATTATTATTATTATTTTATTTAACATTTATTTATTTATTTATTCATTTCTTTTCACTTGACCAGAGAGGGACAGAGAGAGAGAGAAAGAGAAAGTGAGAAATCAAGCCACCAGGTCTGGGATTTGAACCACAGTCGGTCACGTGGGAGTCTAGCACCTTTAACTACCACGCCATCTGCCAGCCCTTCTCTGGTCAAATTGTTTAAAAATAATAATAATGATAAGTAAAATTAAATAAATAATTCTAAAATATAAAAGATGGCAGTTGATAAATATATAAACCATAAGATATTGAAAACGATTGGGACTAGCAATTTGTGTAATGGCTATGTCGCTGGACTCTCATGTAGTCAACTGTGGTTCAAGTCCTGGACAAGGTGGCTTAAACTCACGCCGGGTGCGTGTGCGTGCGTGCCCAAGATTCTGAGAGGAGAATGGAGGAGAAGGGATTGTAGTGTGGCCATCCCCCCTGGGGGGGGTTACTTCTCACTTTCTGTCTCTCTGTCTCTCTCTGTCTTTTTGGCGAGCGCATGCACCCTATAGCAAAAAGCTCTAAAAAAAAAAAAAAAAAAACAGAAAAAGATGGAAAATGATGAAGGATGTGAAGGGAAACAGGAGCCCTGGGGGGATTAATAAATAATGAGGAGAAAGAATCTGGTGTGGTCAAATTGCAGATCCCCTGTGGGGCCCATTACGAGACTCCCTGCAGAAAGCCAGGAAAGGCAAGCAGGACTTCAGGGAAACAGGTCCACTCCCACCTGCTGAGTGTACTAAAGGACCCACGGAAGATTTTGTTTGCGGGACCAGCAGATGGCGTAATGCTTACATCGCAGGACTCCCACATGGCTGACTGCAGTTCAAGTCCCGGACCCAGAGACTTGACACTCACATCAGACATGTGTGTGCACGCTCAAAATCCTGAGAGGGGAACGGAGGAGAAGGGATTACTGCGTAGCCATCTTCTCTTTCTGTCTCTGTCTCTGTCTCTCCAGCAAGTGCATGCATGCGCCCTCTAGCAAAAATCTCTCTTAAAAAACAATTATGTTTGGAATACTCTCTGACTTCAAAAAGAAACTCGAAAATCAACAGTGCCATGGGGTTTCCATCTTCCTACAAATTAGTTTTCCTACTCAGTGTTGTTTTTTAAATGTAACCATGCTGGGGCCAGCAGGTGGCATGGTGGTGAAGGCGCTTGACGCCCACATGGCTGACCATAGTTCAAGACTCAGACCTGGGAACCAGCAGTTAGCATAATGGCTATGTCGCTGGACTCCCACGTAGTCGACCGCGGTTCGCATCCCAGACCCGGTGGCTTAGAATTCACGCCGGGCGCGTGTGCGTGTGTGCCCAAGATCCCGAGAGGAGAAGGAATTGCGGCGTGGCCATCCCCCCTGGGGGGTGACTTCTCGCTTTCTGTCTCTCTGTCTCTCTCT